TCACCAAAACTGCTACTTAGTGGCTTTAAGAAGGACAATTTTTGATAGCTCCTTCACATTGGTTTGAAGGGAAAAACAAAACCAACCATACAAAATCCCCAACACCATTCTGCTTAATTAAGACCTAAAGAAACAGTGCAAACTTTTGATGATTAATTGAAGCATGCTGTAGCCTGATGCATATTTAGTTATTATAATATGATAATTTTATCTTGTTATACAAACTGGTCCCTTTGGGAACATGATTTAACTCTGCAAACATACTGCGCTTATTGCATTGTTCATTATGAAAAATACACAGGCTAAGAACCATAAAGAGATGTATATAAGTACTATCTGTGCAGCAGTTGCAGGGAGCACTCTTTCAACATGTAATGACATAACCCAGGGGCAGAAAAACACAAGATTGGAACTCCCAGAATAACTCTTCCAAAGAGCTGAGATCTCACTAAAATAGAGGCTGGAAATTCAGATCTTGAGCAGTAAATGAAAGAAATGTGTGGTTTTAATACCTGGTGTGTTTATAGAAAACATCAGTGTGGATGTTCTGCTGAAAACTCACTTGTTACTACTTACTTTCTCTGTGCTAAATCTTGCTTGTCTGATGCCTGAGAGTACTGTCATTACCTTTGATAAATGTTGAGTGTAAAATATATTGGGATAGCTCAGCACCTCTAAAGAGGTGATAAACACCTTGCAGGAATGGACCCCAAGGGAATAATACAGAATTGGCAAAACAATTGAAGAGTTTCCAAAATTAACTTTATCTTTGTCTTACCAACTGTAAAATATGATATGAAGGCCAGATCTGCACTACAGACATTACCATCATACCTGTGTCAGTCAGGGATGCTATGAAGTGTGATTCCTGACCAACAGAGCTGTACTCACAAAAGCCACAGGTGTAGACGCAGTCATACTGGCAAAATTGTGGTTTTGCCAGGATAGCATATTTTGCACAAGTGGTCTGAAATAAGCGAGACTGATACAAAATGCAGTTTTGGCAGCATACATTGTGTCCATACTAGGAGCACTTTGTCAGTAGAATATACTGGTATAGTTATACTGGAAAAACACTCATTGTAGACCCGGCCTAATGTAATCACATAAGAGTTTTGGAAAAGATTGAGGATAGACAAGCCAATTGAACATGTTCAGTTTGAGAGTCCCTTCTTTTCTGCGTTCTTGCTGTAAACTCTTGTCACTGAGTGCGCTAGATACTATTTATTGATACATTTTCCTAAGAGAAAGGCAAGTATCTGGTAAAGATAATTCTGAAGGATTTAGTCTTAGTATGAAACCAAGGTCTGTGAAAAAGTTATGGGAATCCTGACTTCTATGGAAGACTTAAACTACAGTTTTTGGAGCATTCCAGTTTCTTTTTAGAATAAGATCTGTTTCTTACTATACAAAATCTTAATTGATATTTTTTGTTTTATTTCCCAGTGCCATTGTTTTGTAATTACAGAAGTGGCTGGACTATTAGCTGTTTTAAAAGTTGTACTCTGCTTGTTCAACCACTAAGGTTAATACCCTGTTATGTAAGGTTCCTATTAAATATTTGCACAAGCTCAATACAGTCTTGTAACTGATGAAGAAGAGGAAAATATGTGCACAAATCAGGAACTTTAATCTGGCCCCCAGCTTTCATCCACATATCCTGCCACATAAACCATAGCACTTGGCTTTACGCTTGTCCTGATTTTATCCAGTGTACCTTTATCTTTCTGCCCTACTCACTCAAAGCTAAAGAAATACATTGTTTTAGAACAAAGGTTCTCAGACTGTGGTCTGTGGCCTACCTGTTGGTGGTCCATGGAGAGCTGATTGATCACATAGCACTGGCTCCTTTACTTACTTATTTCCACCTGGTAAATTGAATTAAGAGAAGTTAAAAATACATTATATACTTTCTTAGGGTAAGATTGTGCCTTAAGGTACAGCACTGAGCAAAGGGTGATGACTTAGCTGCCTTGTCCCAGGAAACATGTGCCTCAGAGATCCCTGAGCCACAGTTCCACCACTGCTGTTTGGGGCGTGGGAGTCTTTTACTACTGTCCTTTATGGATGAAGCATACACTCTCAGCTAGTTTTGATGGCCAGCTTGTAGTGGGATTTATTTAAGACAGAGGAGGACAGTATATATATGGAGTGGGCAGCTTCTATTCTTCCCTCTATGCCAGGAGCTGAATGCAAGGCCTTACATGGCCCCACAAGGAGGTATGGGAGAGCCTTACTCCACCTGCATGGCTGCAAAAAAACTGAGTACAACTGAGCCCCCCAGGATTACTTTTCTCGTGGAAGCAGTTGCTGTTTTGCCACAAGGGGAGGTGATTGTAAGTGGGTGGATAGGTGATCTTCCTGGTGGTGGGTGAGTGGTTCTCTCTATTAAGATGTGGCCCGCACTATGGAATAGTTTCAGAACCCCTGTTTTGGAATTTTGTGCTCATTCTTCAAGACCACATTGTTATAGAACCTATGTACTTTGGAAGTGAGTGCTCCCAGCAATTACTTTCAAAGAGGCTAAGCTCTGCTTTCAGCTGGTGAGTTTCCCCCTTTCAGCTCTTCTCAGCATTAATGAAGGTTGTTGCAAAAGGGAGCATCTGCACCTCTTCCATTTTCGAGCTTTGTAGAACATTCTAAGAATTAACACTCTTAAATTGGTAGGGGAAAATATCAAGTACATTCAGTGATTTTAATGCTGCACATTGCTGTTTTGAGGTGCAAGCGGTTTTTCTTTGTTTTTATTGCTTCCCCGGCTCTTCTCTTGCCAGGTAAATTCAACGGGGCAAAATGATGCCTTCTAAAAGGAGCAGGTTCACCAAAGTGGGAAAGGAGTTGTACTTTCTCAGAAACAATGCCCTTGTGAAGGCATACTGCCTTCAGTGGCTCTGGGGGAGCATGATGGAAAGCACTTCTTGACTCACATTTGAATAGGTGTACTTTGTACTGCTGCCAATACAGCCCTGCTGGTTCTCAGGGCAGGCCCAGGGCCATGACAACACTAGGCAGCTCCTATTGCCAGTCTGTACTCCAAAGCATCCTGCAGCCAAAATTATAACTGCCCCCAGTGTGAGCTTCTTGAACCCATGCATGGCTGGCTATAATTTGGCCCAAAGTATTTTGATTTCCATTGATGTCAAATATGTTAGAACATTTATGAGATTTTGGCAAATCCCACTCTAAAGAGTAAGTGCTAAAATGTCATAATTATAGCACATTAAACACAAATCTAAATTATGGCTTGGCCTTAAATATAGTTTTAAAGGTGTACAGTCTGATTCAAATTAAAAGGTCAAGTTTTTTACATTGTACAATTTTATTTGTAACTACAAATCACGACACAATTTGTGGAAGGAAAAACATTATTAAACTGGCAATATTTATTCTGTTAAGGTGAATAAAATGCAGCACGTAGTTCTGTGTTACGATAGCTGGGGGAAGGAGCCAAATCATTCTACTAAAAATTAGTTTGCCAATAATTTTGCAGAATGATGACATTGCTTCAAAACCAATCCTTTACAGGGAAATGGGATGACTGTATGGCAGGCTCTCTGAATCATGAACTTTCCATCACTCCTGGACAGTAAATTGCTTTAACAATTAGTCTTTTGGGGATTTCCCCTCCCACCCCCCAGAAATCAGACAATAGTTAATATCAGTGACTGAAAGGTCATGTTGTCTAATGGACTGGATATAGGAATAGAATCCTTAGTCCTAAATCATGGGTTTGCCATTGATTTATTGTATTGCTTTGTGCAAGTAACTTAACTGTTCAGTTTCCCCTTCCATAAAATGGGGATAAGAATACAGACCTCACAGTAGCGTTGCCAGGATTTGAAGATGAAAAGTGCTATGTAAGTCTTATTATTATGGGGAATTTTCTTGCACTTGACTATATGAATCCAATTTAAAGCAACAGTCTAGGTACTTCCATACTCTAGATAGACAGGAACAACTGTAGATAACAGCACAAAGAGCTAAGAATGTAATTGGGGAAAGAAGAATGTAATTGGGGAAAGAAGTTGGAGGCTCTAGAGAACAGAAATGATTAAATCAGTATAAGATGGTTGCTAGAAAATATTTACCAAATTAGAATAGAGACATGAGAAATACTGGAAAGAGAATGAGGACTGTGAGGTGAGGAAAATGGCATCAAGTACAAAGCTGCACTCACTTTCTTATGAATGATTGAAATGATCTCCCTAAAATTCAGGGAAATAACACCAAAATTAATGTAAACATTAAAAAGTTAAATCTCCACATACATGTCAGAAGAACTCAAAACAGGGTCAAATAGCACATCTTAGAGAACTCTTGGTGAGTTAAAATGTACTCAACCCTGATAAGAATCACTTTGCAGATTTTAATAACACAATTAGGCATCTCCCCTCTCACTCAAATATGTATTTTTGTGTCAATCTTACTTGGAGTAAACCTCCTCCCATTCTCTTCTAGTCATTATTTGGAATCAACACCCAAATGGGGCATTTCCTTTTCCTTCCTCACATCCCATTTAGAATCCTGTTTGTAAGGGCCCTCATTACATTACTCTGGTACGGTAGCTTCCATGTGTATTTTATCAACTAGCTGCTGAGCAGAATTCCTCCGAGGCTCTTGATAATGGATTTTAAGTAATGGGAATGTAACAGCATTAGTCACATTGGTCTTTAGTGTTGGTTACTGGTTTAATAAATACAGTTAGGCACTTTCTTAAACATGCTAAAAAGCCCCAAGGACCTCCAGAGCTTTTCAGTGATGCACTATTTTTTATTATAATCTTTTCCATCCATTTCAGAAGTTCTGTCAGCCTCCTGGCCTGGTTGGCACAGGATACCAGCTGCCTAGGGAACAAGTAGTTAATCACAAGCCTGCCTCGTTCTGCTCACAAAGAGTGAGGAAGACAAAGTTACTGCAATAGAGTTCTGAGGTTGAGTGCGTAGATGTCTGATTGGGTGTTTGCATCTGATATAAACATTATTTTTATATTTTTGTTGTAGAAGATGATGTGTCAAATGTACAAATAATGTGTGCCTGGTGCCAGAAAGTGGGAATCAAGCGCTATTCCCTGAGTATGGGAAGTGAAGTGAAATGCTTCTGCAGTGAGAAGTGCTTTGCAGCTTGCCGAAGAGCATACTTCAAGAGAAACAAGGTAAGAGAGCCAAAGAAAGATGTAACCCTACACAGGCCTAGCTCGGGTCTCATTTCGTAGCTAGCAAAAAAAAAATTTTTTTTTGGTTCTTTCTGTTTTGTCTGTTCCCTTTACCTTTCCATATGTATTGTTTGTTGGACTATCACCCCTTACTAATGTGTAACCTGTTTTCTCAGTTTCCCTCAGCTTAATGCCTTAGTTCTGTGAGGGTGGATGAATTTAATTAGACGATAGTAATAATGCACTATAAAATAAGAATGATGGTTTTGCTTTGGAATCTTATTATATTTGCTCTATGTGTAAGACTAGGGGAGGGATCTTCATAGCTGTGCATAGGGAGGTAGACATACAAGTCTTATTTTTGGTAGGTGGCTATATCTTGCACAGCTGAAGTCAAGAGAAGTTTTGTCATTGATTTCAGTGGCAGCAGGATCATTGGCGATGGCATATGCAGTTAGGCCCTGATCCAAAGTGCAGTGAAGGCAATGACTTCAGTGAGCTTTGGATCAGGACCTTAGTTTCATGCTTTTAAAGTTTATCTTCAAATGTAAACAATTATGGACCTACTGCTTTAAAAAAGCTCAGACATTTTGGTGTTTTGTGTGGGGTAAGCAGTGACAAAACCATCTATCATAGCACGAGGCTGTTTCCAGTGATCTGAAAGATCATTTTATCTCAAGTTAAAATGGAATTCTAATATTGGCTTGATTTCCCAAAGTGAAATGACCACAAAAATTATTCTAATCTGTAAAGTGCAGTGACTGAAAGTGCCCTGTACTTTATTTTAGCAGCTGGTTTGTGCAGCAGAATATAGGGTGTTTCTGTTATAAAAAACAAACAACAAACCTCCCCATCCCTGCAAAACACACCAACTTCTAATTGTTACAAAAAAATAGCTATGGCAGTTTGATACTTATTAGTGTAATAGAGGAGTCCTTGGGTGAGACTCATTGATCTAGAAAGCTTTATTTATTCATAAAATTCTTCACATTTTTGTTTATTAAACCTGCATATTTTTCCCTCATGCTGCAGAACATTTGAAGTTTGTCATCTTAAAAATAATTCCCCCCCCATCTGATACTTGCAATCTATGGTAAAAAAAAAAAAAAAAGGATTTTAGACGCAAGAAACATTGTAGCTGCAAATTACCCTCCTTTATAAATTTGGGTCACATCATTCTGTCCCCCCCACTCCGCCCCCAGAAAAGCCTAAAGAATTAGGTTGCAAAAATCAGCAGAGTGGAATTTTAGTGGCAGTCTTTGAGAATCAAGCTCATAATGTTTACTGGAGCAGATAGGCAAGTTAAACAATCATGTGGAAGCTTCTGTGAAGTGTAGTGTTTATCTCTCTTTATTTGGAGGACGTGGGGTGGGTAGGGAGAAATGCATCTAAGATACTCCACATTTTGACATGAACATAGTAAATTTCTTTCATGTAAGATGGTTTATAGAATTGGATGTTCAGATCATGGACAGTGAAGTACCCCTGTGTGTGTGTGCGCGAATATGCACAAGTGTGCATGCTGTAAGCTCCCTGGTGTAACGAAGGATCCTGTCCTGCACTTCTTATTGAGCTGCAACTCCTCTGGCTTCCAATGGCAGGATTTACTTGAGTAAAGCAACACACAGGAACATAGGAATTGCCAGTTGTCCATCTAGTGCAGTATTGTATGTCTGACAATGGCCAGTACCAGATGTATTAGAGGAAGCAGCAATAAATCCTATAGAGGACAATTATGGAATTACTAATCCACAGTGGGGCCTACAACCCATGTGTTAGTCTTTGGCTTATGCCATGAAGCAGGGGGCTTATATCCCATCTAAAAAACCTTTTAAAAAGATTCTACTTAATGTAATTGTGGATGTTGTCATTATCCATATCAATGTGTCATCCTGTTATGACTAAGAGAATAGGATCCAATTATATTTTGTGGCCATCAGAGAGACAGATTAATCATGTATTGTGTAAATAAATATTCCCTTTACCAGTTTTAAATTTGTTTCCTGTCAGTTTTGTTGGATGTCCCCTTGTTCATGTATTATAGGAAAGGGTAAAGTGAAGTGCCCAATTTACCTTCTTTGTACCATTCATTCTTTGTATTAGACATCTTATCATATCACATCTGTTTGTCTCCTCTCTAAACTAAACAGTCCCAAATATTTTGAATCTCTCCTCAGACAGAAACCTCTGCATACAGTCTAACTCTTTTCTGTAGATCTCAAGAACAAAAGAAGTTCTTATTCTTTTAAATGCACATTTCACCACAATAAGTTGCTCTACACTTCTCTCAAACAAGTCACAACAGTAACTGGGTTTTCTTCTGTAAATATTAAGGATCAACATGTGTCCTACTTTTCCATGTGCCTTGAGGAATTAAGATATGGCAAGGCAACACAATTGACAGCATTTGGATCATTGCCTAAAAGCCTTCTTTAAGTTAAAGGACCAAATTCCACCCTCGGTTACACCTGTGAGAGCCTGTGGCTGCATGAGTGAAACTGAGACCTGAACCTGGTCCACACATTATTTTCAATCTAGAACATTCTATCACCTCTATATTCATAGTGTTCAATATGAACAATCACAGGATGCAATACTCAGGGAATGTTAATGCTGCTATTGAAGTTAGGCAGGTTCAGGAGAGTTCAACAGGGAATTGATTAAATCATAGAATATCAGGTTTGGAAGGGACCTCAGGAAGTCATCTAGTCCAACCCCCTGCTTAAAGCAGGACTAATCCCCAGGCAGATTTTTGCCCCAGAACCCTAAATGGCCTCCTCAAGGATTGAACTCACAACCCTGGGTTTAGCAGGCCAATGCTCAAACCCCTGAGCTATCCCCCTCCCCGAAATGAAATAGCCCCATTTAATCCCAGTAAGAGACTGACTCTATGTGCTGCAGAGGAAGGTGAAAAACCCCAAGGTCACTGCCAATCTAGCCTGGGGGAAAATTCCTTCCTGACCCCTCTGATGGTGATCAGTTAGATGCTGAGCATGTGAGCAAGAGCCAGCCAGCCAAGCACCTGAGAGAGAATGCTTACTGAGAGCACTGTCTCACCCTGTCCAGTGTCCTGTCTGCTGTGATGGTCGTCTCTGATGCTTCAGAAGAAGGAGACCAAAAAAACCCAGAATACTTTGCAGGGAAAAACATCCCTTCCTGACCCTTGCAGGTGACTGGCTGAACCCTGCCATTAAAAACATAAACTGGAAGGGACCCCCAGGGCTCTCAAGTTCTGCCCCCACCCTCACATCAGAAGCAACCCCATCATGCAATCCCACTCATAAATTTGTCAGCCCTCCCTTTAAACTCATTACATAGTTTGCCCCCAGAATTCTTATTGGGAGGCAGTTCCAGAACTTCACTCCTCTGATGGCTAGAAACCTTCATCTAATTTCCAGCCTGAATTTGTTCATGGTCTGTTTATATCCATTTGCTCTAGTGTCAACATTGTCCTTTAGTTTAAACAGCTCTTCACCTTCCCCAGAATTTACAAGTAACAAGGTTGCAAAAGTTTCAGGTATACCCAGTAACCTTTAAACTCTTATTACTAGTCTGGCCATGTACCTGTCTTCTCCACGAGTCTAATGTTTATTTATGTATTTGAAAAGTTACACCACTCTACAGCTTCTCATTTTTCAAACAGGAGTAAAATGGTCACATTTCACCTGCCTTATGCATGTTTTAAACAGCATATCTTTGCAACAATATAGTGTTGTATTACAATAAATATGTACAGCTGCTGTATTTCAGTGAGCTGATAGGACTTTGTGGTCATTTCATTTAAGGCTTGAATTTCCTAATGGATTGTATAAGCAGTCTTCCCCGCTCCCACCCTGGCTAAGAACTGCTGTAATAAGCACTTGCTTAAAACTGTAGGACTGTTCAAACAGTAAAGAATAAATCATCATTCATGTCTCAAAATATTATAAAATAATGATGCAAATTATACACATTTTAATACCAATTGCTGCATATAGAATTAAGATTATCTCAACATTTAAATAAAACAAAAATCCTCTCCAATACATTTGGAAAATGTAGGCTCTGATGTGCTGCTCTCTTTACAAATTCCCATTTGGGTTAAATTCTGGGAGGAAACCAGCTGAAATCACCCTATCGAATGAAATCTATAAGGAAGGCACACAAACTCTACAAAAGCACCATTAATGTGCAGCTGTATGTTGGAGGTGCATAGTTGCATGCACACTACAACACCACCTCCACCCTCACATGTACTATTCCTGCCAAGAGTTACAATAGTCTGGATAACAGGAATCATTGCTAGACTATGGAATGCACTTACATTGCTGTATGGACCCTAATGCCTTAGTCATAGGTATGTATTGATTCTCCATGAATTTTGTCACAGAGGGCTTGTAGAACAGCAGCACCTGGGTAGCAATCCTCAACCTTGTGCTCCAGCAGCAGTGCAGGTATATATGACAGATAAATATAGTGAGACCCAACCACAATATGACTCTTGTCTAAATTACTAATAATAAATGAATAAAAGCAAGTTCAGTATTTTTTCTACCTCTTTAGGCAGAGAGATTAAATGTTTAGATTGTTTCTGCATCTGAACTCTTGTTCCTGTTTTGTCTGCTATACAGAGTCAAATGTAAATAATGAACTAGTGCATAATGATAACCTGTTGTGCATAATAATACCAATTAAAAGCAATGTTGCAAGGAAGAAAGTTTTTTATACTAATGTTTCTAAAAGAACAGATTTAGATTTAAACCTGTTCCAGTGCTCCCTTCCTTATAGATTTCATTCTATAGACCAGCCAATATAAGTCCAAGAATCACAGCAGCACATAGCAGCACACTTGCCGGCAAGTTAAAGAAGTATGGGCTGGATGAATGAACTATAAGTTGGATAGAAAGCTGGCCAGATTGTTGGGCTCAACGGGTAGTGATCAATGGCTCCATGTCTAGTTGGCAGCCGGTTTCAAGCAGAGTGCCCCAACGGTCGGTCCTGGGGCCTGTTTTGTTCAATAT